CATTTCTTCCAGGTGCGACATTTTTTGGTGATCCGAGTTTTACCATCGTATTTACATCTCCACAGGCCTTTCCCTGGTGGTATGACCGAGCTCTTATTCGACTATCAGATTTTCAGAGTGGCGGGTCTTTTATAGCCTATGAGATGCTGCGTACATTATTTGATATTCCCCTTTGTGAACATTTTCGGTATTGGCCAATATGGCATTTCTTCAGTTCCCACTTCAGATTGACGCCCTCGTCCTCAATTACTTTTTTTAATGTATCAGCCATGACTCGCATAGGGGTAGGGGTCTCATTTCCCATTTATATCGCTCCTTTTCAAATACTGTATTTCCCTTGCCTCCTCTATATAGTGGAAACTTGATTGTGGGATTACATTTTCTGATGAGGACTGGGATTCTATGTTGGAGAATATACGGAAAAGCTCTAGATCCCTTTCAGTCCATGAGACAGCCCCGAAGGCCTTAACTCGCTGGTATTATACCCCCTCCAGACTTCATATGTTTCTAGGAACATCGCACCTTTGTGTCAGGGTGTGAGGCTTTGCCAGTACTATCTGGCGTAGGATTTCGGAGCTGGAATCTGCCCTGACGGGTTCTCCGGTGGATTTATCCCTGCAATTTTGTTTGTTGGGGTTGTCGCCAACCAAATGAAATTGATTTATACTATAAGCAATTCTACTCTATGGGCTATTGCCCTTTATTGGAAGTCTCCAGTGGTTCCTTTGGCTTCTGTTTTGCAGAGAGTCGATGTGGTTATGCTTATGGAACGTATTCAATAAACATTGCTAGATAGGATGCATTTATTTAACAATAAATGGGATGGTTGGAAGACGCATTGACATTTATTACTCGATTGATGTTATTAATAGGTATTTCTGTATTGAACTTCAGGTGATGTTGTGCTTGCTCTGCTGATATTGTTGACTACTTTCTTCATGTACGTGTGTTCTTTTTTATACTTGTATTTCTGTTTAATATTCATGTATATTTTATATAATGTCTATTGTACCTCACTTTATGGTACGGTTGTTGTAGCCTACCTCTTAACCACTTGCCCTCAAGAGGATTTACCCCCCTTAATGACCAGGCCTCTTTTTGCTACTCGGCGCTGCACTAATTCAACTGATAATTGCGCGGTCATGCAATGCTGCACCCAAACAAAATTTATGTCCTTTTTTTCACACAAATAGAGCTTTCTTTCAGTGGTATTTGATCACCTGTGTGCTTTTTATTTTTCGCTGTATAAACAAAAACAGAGAACATTTTGAAGAAAAACAATATTTTTTACTTTCAGCTATAAAAAATATATAGTAAACTCAAAGTTAGTTATAAATTTAGATTAAAATGTATTCTGCTACATGTTTTTGGTAAAAAAAATCCCAATAAGTGTATTGCTTTGTGTGAAAGTTATAGCGTCTACAAACTATGGTATAGATACTGCAATTTACACCTTTTTTTTTGCTATACAGTGCTGCACTAGTTTAACTGACAATTGCACAGTCATGCAACATGGTACATAAATTAAATGTATGTCCATTTTTCACACAAATAGAGCTTTCTTTTGGTGGTATTTGATCACCTGTGCACTTTTTATTGTTGGTGCTATAAACAAAAAAGGTTTTGAGAAAAGAAAACAATATTTTCTCATTTCTGTCATACAAAATATCCAAAAAACTAAAATGTCATCATAAATTTAGGCCAAAATGATATATTTCTCACACAAGCCATGGGTATATGTGGAATTACACCCTAAAATACATTCTGCTACTTCTACCGAGTATGGGGATACCACATGTGTGAGACTTTTTGGGAGCCTAGCCACATACAGGAGCCTGAAATCCAATGACCACTTTGAAGCCTGAAGGTGCACAACTTCCTCATTTCACTTCTTCACTACCCATCACAGTTTCGAAGACCCTGAAATGCCAGGATAGCACCAAACCCCCCCAAATGACCCCTTTTTGGAAAGTAGACACCCCAAGGAATTTATAAAGAGGCATGGTGAGTATTTTGCAGATCTAATTTTTTTCACAAGGTTTGAAATATAAAAAAAGAAAAAATATATGTTTTTGTTTTTTTTCTTAATTGTCCGAAAACTTGTGGCAACAAACGAGATCTTCAAAATACTCACCATGCTTCTTATCAAATTCCTTGGGGTGTCTACTTTCCAAAAAATGGTCATTTGGGGGGGGGGGGGGGGTTAGGTGCTATCCTGGCTTTTCAAGGCCTCCGAAACTGTGATAGGTAGTCAGGAAGTGTAATGAGGAAATAAAACCCTTTAAAAGCCTGAAGGTGCTTATTGGATTTTGGGGTCCCATACTTGGCTAGACTGCCAAAACGTGTCTCACATGTGGTACCCCCATACTCGGAAGAAGTGTCAGAATGTATTTTGGGGAGTAATTCCACATATACCCATGCATGTGTGAGCAATAAATCATTTAAGTGACAATTTTGTGTAAAAAAAATAAATAAATTTTGTTTGGCATTTTCCAAAAACTTGTAGTAAAAAAAAAAATAAATTCTTCTGTTGATTCAACATGCCTCTCAGCAAATAGTTTGGGGTGTCTACTTTCCAAAAAGGGGTCATTTTGGGGGGGGGGGTAGGGGCATTTTATGCCCAGCATTAGAAGTTTATGCCACACATCATTCACTCTTCTAACCACCTGAAGACCAAGCCTTTTCTGACACTTTTTGATGAAAAAAAATCTGTATTTTTTGCTAGGAAATTAATTTAAACCCCAAACATATTTTTTTTTAAAGCAAACACCCTCGTGAATAAAATGGTGGGTGCTGCAATTTTTTATATCACATATTGCTGACGCAGCGATTTTTTCGAAAGCAATTTAAAAAAAATACACTTTTTTTACTTTTAATGCACTAAAACACAATATATTGGCCAATTATTTGGTAAAATAAAAAGATGATGGTATGCCAAGTAAATAGATACCAAACATGACATGCTTTAAAACTGAGCATGCCCCGTACAATGGCAACAAACTGTATGCGATTTTAATATCCATAGGCAACATTTTAAAAGCCTTTGCAAGCTAACATTTTAGATTTACAGAGGAGGTCTAGTCTTAGAATTACTGCCCTTGATCTACCATTCTTGGCGATACCTCACATGCATGGTGCAACTGCTGTTTCCATATTGGCACAGGGTCAACGCTCACGAACGCAGTTGCACGCATGTGCGGGGGAGTGAGGGTACTTTTTAGGTTATTTTGATTTTTTTTAAATTATTTTTACACTGTCCCTTTAATTTTTTTTTTTTTTTTTATCACTTTTAATGCTATCACAGGGAATGCAAATATCCCTTATAACTTCAATGGGCATTGTCATATATTCATTTTTGGGAAATCTGGGGTCTATCAGACTCTAGATCTCTCCTCTGCCCTTACATTATCTAATCTCACCAAGATCAGTGTGATTAGATGCTTTCCCAATTTACAAATGGCGCTGTTTATATCCTGCAAAACTGAAGTGATGAAATTCTCGTAGCTTCCAGTGACGTAACAAGTACATTGCTGGTCCAGGTTGGGCATATATATAACAGCAGAGAACACAAGCATATGATTAATTGGCTCTGGGGATCAACATGACCGCAATTCATTCTTTTCTGTAATGCCCATGTTGAGGGTTAGGCCTAAAAGAGTTTTAAATTCAGAAACCGTGATAGATTTCCATACGAATTGTCTGGAAAGAGCTGAATTTGGGTGGGCGGCCATATATTGTTGTGCGTATAAATTGCTTTGGCGCACAGTCAATTGGTAAAAATCTTCAGTGAAAAACAGTGGAGGGGCAACACTAGTGCTGGCAGCAAACGGGGCCGATCCTGCTAACTCTGAGTTTTTGTGGACACTATAAAAAAGGAGGCACTAGTATAGTTCTGTACGTGATCAGTATCTTGAATTGTACAAACGCTATACTAGTAATGGGGGTGATCAACGACCTATAGCATAAGTGCGATAGTGTGCGGGCAATCTAACGCTAGCTGACTCTGGCTGGATGGGGCGCTAACTAACCCTGATGTTAACTGATGTCGCTAGTGGCAGGAATACAGTGATCAGTGAAATATTTTATATACTGACACTGTACTAATGGCACTGGCTAGGTGATCCAAGGGTTGTGTGTGTGTGTGTAGCAACGCAAGATTATGTTGCTTTGCAAAGAGCTGCTGCTCGCCTGCAAAATACGAGTAAGCGGTTTGCAAATTAAAAAATGTAAAAAAAATTCTCAATTTTTTTTTCCTTTCATCTTTTTTTATTATTATTTTTTAATACTTTTATCAGAATAGTACAATGTTACCATAGTAACACTGTACTACTGTGTGTGGGGGTGATCAGGGATTTTTTGGGGGTTTTTTTACACTTTGCTTTTCAGGAGAAAAAGATCATTTCTCCTTCAGTGCAAAGCTTGCTGTCAGAACCTAACTCATTCATGAACGGTAATGAATGAGTAAAGTTTTGACAGCTCAGGGTAGTGATCTGTGATTGGCTGAAGCTAGTCACATGGTACAGGGTGCTGTGATTGACCCCATGTATCATGTGACAGCTGTGGGCCAATCACAGCTCACTAGGAAGAGAAGCAGAGCTGTTATGAATGAGATTGATTCATAACAGCTTTGCTTACATTGTGAGCATGTGATCGCATATCGATCACATAATCACCACGTCCCGTTCACGAGGATCTTCATTCCGCTGTATCCGCCAGACACAGCAGTCGTGAGGTGGGGGGAAGCATCGGTTTGCCTGTAGCTGCTGCTATGCTTCAGTACATTGTGGGCAGGTAGGAAGCGGTTAACCACAAGCTGACAGGACACTTATACCCCCTTTCTGCCCAGGCCAATTTTCAGCTTTCAGCGCTGTTGCACTTTAAATGACACATGCGCGGTCATACAACACTGTACCCATATGAAATTTTTATAATTTTTTTGTGATAGATAGAGATTTATTTTGGTGGTATTTAATTACCTCTGGGTTTTTTATTTTTTCTTAAACCAAAATTTTGAAAAAAAAAACATTTTTTCTTAGTTTTTGTTAAAAAATTTTGTAAATAAGTGATTTTTCTCCTTCACTGATGTGCGCTAATGAGGCTGCACTGCTGGACACTGATAGGCTGCACTGATGGACACTGATAGGTGGCACTGATGGGCACTGATGAGGAGGCACTGGTAGGTGGCACTGATGGGCATTGACAGGCATCACTGATGGGCACTGAAAGGCAGCACTCATATATGGCACTGATAGGCTGCACTGACTGGCACTGTTAGGCGGCACTGATAGGCAGCACTGATGGCCACTGATATGCGGCACTGATGCACACTGATAGGCGGCACTGGCTGGCATTGATAGGTGGCACTGATTAGCAGCACTGATAGGTTGCACTGACTGGCACTGATGGGTGACACTGAAAGGCAGCTCAGATGGGCACTGATATGTAGCATTGATGTGGCATTGAAATGTGTGATTGTGATGTGGCACTGGCAGGTGGCATGGATGAGCACTGAGAGCTGTCACTGATGGACACTGACAGGTGGCATTGCTGGGGCTACACAGATCATCACGGCACACTGATCATCAGTGCTCTGATGATCTGTGTACATGCCCCCTCTGAAGAATGCTGATTACTGGCTCTCCTCTCCTCACAAGCTGTCAGTGTGACAGCTCGTGAGGAGAGAAATGCAGATAACCAGCATTTCCCTGTTTACATGCGATCAGCTGTGATTGGACACAGCTGATCACGACTGAGCCGACATCTTTGACTCTTTACATGGATCGGTGATCCGCTGTGTCCGAGGGACACAGCGCACCGCAGATCGCCATACTGCGCACTCCGGGAGCCGCGCATGCTCGGTTAGAATTGGAGGACGTCATATGACGTCCTCCCAGAACGAGAGAACCACCTTGCGTCCGTCATATTACTATATGGGGGGCGGGAGGCGGTGTTAAACAAAATTGTCAACAACGCAAAAAAACTCCACATTCCAGGGATGAGACAACTGCTATGTAGGAATAACAAATACAAAGCTATACTTTAGAGACAATAGTCTGACATATTGAGCAATGGCTAGAAAATATGTAAGCAGCTTGGTTGGTCAGTGTTCGAGATTCTGTATATAGCACTACAGAACAGACACAGGCAGGGGCGGACTGACAACTCATGGGGGCCCCCAGGCAATAGGGGATCATGGGGCCCCTGTGTCCTTGCCCTAACTCAAAAAAGCCTATGAAAAAGGTACCAGGGGCATCTCATGGGGCCCCCTACTAACCCCGGGCCCTAGGGCAGTGCCGAGTTTCCAAATGGTCATTCCGCCCCTGGACACAGGTGTCCTTTTATGAAACAGAGATCAGCGGCGATCCTGAGGATCGTTGCTGATCTCCGATCATTAGTGGTTTAGGAAACAGAGATGATCAACGGAGAACATGTTATTCACTGATCATCTCAGCACACAGATGTGCAGTATATGAAGGAGCGATCTCAGCCCTTTACTGGCGATCTGTGTTCTCCCTCCAGATTCTCCAGCTCAGAGCTGGAGAATCGGAGGAACCGCAAACCAAGCAGCGCTTGTTTGACGGTGTTTGACTGATCTCTTACTGTAATCTCGCAAGATTATAGTAAAAGCAGCCCTTTCTCAGCACTGAAAGCGTTTGTAGATCGCTTCTCCCTTCATTCGGAGAAGTGATCTACACTGCTTCATAAAAAGTCATTCAGAGCAGAACTGTCTTCTCCGAGAATGCCAGAGAACTGAGCAGTGGTCATTTACCGCTGCATGATAAAAGGACACCACAGTCCATATGTTTTATCTGCTGCTTCTCTGTAAATGGGAAGCTTTATTATAGAGAAAAGACAGAGTTTAGCCATAGATGCAGCTACAAACCTATAAACACTGCCATCTACTGGTTGAAGAATATATCTCTACAGAATAGTGATGTAGTTGTACAAAAATACAGGAGCATTGTATTCCAGAACTCCCACTCAACAACTACTCCTTATATTAGTCCTATTTCAGACCTCAGTTCTATAAATCTGTTTCTTGTAATCTCGCACTGGTTTTAATGCTGCATGAGCAACATAGGATAGATGTTTGGCTGGGATGCCTTTATTGGTTCTGGTGGATTTTCTGATTAAAGCCTCTTGTGGCCTGGTTACTTCTTTAACAGTATTTGGATTGTCTGCATTAATTTCTATTTTTGTGTCACTTTGTTGCTTAACTTCATGAGACACTGATGTGGAATTTCCCTCAATTTGAAGCATTTGTCTAGAATTACACTTCTTCACTTGATGTAGAATTCTGTATCCCTTTTAAGATTCACTATACAGGCATACCTCGGTTTACGAATTTAATTAGTTCTGCGGGACTTTTCGTATAGCGAAAAATTTGTAAACCAAAATTCCATAGGAATGCCTTGAAAACCAATTAATCCATTCCTGAGGTCAGAAAAAAGTAAACGCTACTAAAATACGCATGAGTTATTTTATCAAGTCATGTGATATTTTAATAGTGACAACCATGTGTTAATGTTTCAGCTGTCAGCGGGGTTCCCCCAGCTGCATGTAAAAGAATTGCTGGCAATTAAAAAAACACGTGGGGTCCCCCCTCCCATCCATGCCAAGCCCTTCGGGTCTGGTATGGATTTTGAGGGGAACTCCCATGCAAAAAAAAAAAAAAAACAAAATTTGCTTGGGGGTCAACCCCAAAATCCATACTAGACCCTTACCCGAGCATGCAGCCCGGCGACGAGCAAGCGCCCCCCCCCCCCCCCCTGAACCATACTAGGCCACATGCCCTCAACATGGGGGGTGCTTTGGAGCAGGGGAGCTCCCCCCTAAGCTCCTTGCCCCCAACTTTCCAGGGTTGTGGGGGTCTGCGGGCAGCGGGCTTATCAGAAAATGGAAGCCCCCTTTAATAAGGGGGCACCAAGATCCTGCCCCTCCCATTATGTGAATGAGTATGGGGTACATAGTCCGATACTCATTCACAAAAAACAGAAAAAAAAAGAACTGTCAAACCACCGGAGCAGGCAGACAGCTGAAAGCTCCTGTCAGAAGCGGAACCTTTTTTATTTTTAATTCTTTTTTTGGGGTCGGCGGCGGGCATCGTGATTGACGTTGGATCTACTGCGGGGGAAATCTTTTAGTTTTTTCTTTTAATAAAGGACTTGTCAAAGACTGTGTCCTGTCTTTTTTCACACTACATTTTTTGTGAATGAGGACCATGTACCCCATATTCATTCACATGGGGGGGTGAGATCTGGGGGCCCCCTTGTTAAAGGGGGCTTCAAGAGTCCGATAAGCCCTCTGCCCACAGACCCCCACAACCACCGGCCGGGGTTGTGGGGAAGAGGCCCTTCAGCTGTCACTTCCCTCCAGCTAAAACAGACCATTTCTTTTTAGTTTATTTCCCCAAGTTAAAAGAAACAATGTTTCCTTTTAGTTTCTAAAAACAAACAATGCTTCCTTTAACTCTGGGGAAAGTGACAGCTCTGTAAGCTATAGTGAAGAAAAAAAAAGCCAGCGATTTGAAAATTGGCACCGACATACACTTCGTATTGCGAAAAAAAAATTGTAAACCAAGGCATTATTTTCAATGGATTTTCATTCGTAAACCAAAAATTGCGTTAACCGAGGCGTTTGTAAACTGAGGTACACCTGTACCCCACAATTACACCTTCCTTTGTGAGAGCATCCCATTTTGTAAATTTTTCTTTTGGGGTATGCACAAAATTCTTTGCTTTCAAAATTTTTTAGATGGTTCAAATTTGGGGGTCTTTCTGTCCTACAATTTATGTTGTTTTCTCAGTTGACTTTCCTGGTAGTCGATTTTGGAGATAGCATGCAGTCATAATAGAAGTTGGCATCAAACATCATATTTCTTCCACTCTCACACAGAGCATGGTTCATTCTTTATGCAACTCTATTTTGTTCTGGGTTGTATGGTGCAGTAGTTCCTCGGTGATCGCCACCACATGCCAGCGGGGAATTTTTGGCTGGAATCCAGTGACTGACAGCTGTAGCCACCAATGTCCAGGAGAAAATGCAAAATCACACATTATTTTTATATATATATATATATATATTGTGGGAACTCGCTTCAAATGGTAGAGCTTTTGTAACGCACACAGCAACTCGCTTGCTTTTTAAGGCCTTTTTAGCCCACTTTTATTTAAATGAAAGTTCAAAACATCAGAAGTTTCCCACACAGGGGGTATCAATCATCCACATACACAAAATTCAGCCTCCTGGCTTTCTCAGATATAAACACTCTTCCACTGGCCTTCCTCTTCAGGCTTACTGTACGTCTGTCTCCTGCAGACTCTTTCAAAAACATGGCTCTCGCATACAGCTGGCCACTAGCACATAGCTAGTCTCTAGCAGCCCCTTGCTGCTATTGGCTTCCACCTCTCCTTGGTGGAGCCCTCCTGACTCCTGTCTTCCAGGTGGAGCCCTCCTGACTCCTATCTGCTGGGGTGGAGCCCTCCTAACTCCTATCTGCTGGGGTGGAGCCCATAATCATGGCCTGGCCTCCACAAAAAGGCCTGCACACACCTGTGCAATCATCGTGCTGGCTGCTCTCAAAATATGGGCCCAGGATTGGAGATTTCATCCCTCCCAAATCTCTTAGAAATCTCCAGGCTACAGGTCCCAAAACAGGCTTTACAAACCAAAGAGGAAACTTATAAACCAGTTTCCTCTGCATTATGAGAACTGCCTGGAGCCCCTCAACCTGTATGGTTGAGAATCCTGGGTCTCCATCATGATTTCCACCGTGGCAGGATACCGCACTGCCTCAATATATATATATATATATATATATATATATATATATATACACACACACATACACACACACACACATGATTTTGCACAGCCCTGCTGCCCTGTAGCAGTAGTTCTGATGGCACCCGCATGCATCTAAACACACAGCATATTTGCTGGTGTGGGAACCGCTGGAAAATTGCATGGTGCAAAAATGGTGCAGGAACCTTTTTTCCTGAATCAAATGCAGGCAGAGCAGCCCATTCAAATGAACAGATTGCAGAGGCACTACTAAGGCATCCCTGCCTGTACTCACCTGCACTCTTTCCTCAACGTCTGATTAAATAAATTCACTGCACATCCTCCTGCAGCTGATAATGTTCTTTAATAAATCAGCCTACTCCTCAGTGCCAGGTTTCAGGGCTACAGTGGGATGAAAAGATTGAAGAGGAAGATGAGGAGGACATGCATGTGCATCGTCTGATGATACTGCACTAGTCTGTGTCTGGGAGAAGGAGGATGACAAAGGTTTGGTTTATCTAATCCATCACCTCCTACATGTACTCTGGCTGTATAGCACATGCACTGCCAAAAAAATTAGGGTAGGGTTGGCCAGATGCACAACCTGCTTACCTCCTACCAAATGCACATGAAGAACTTGTACTTTTCCCTTTAGGCCTCCCAGGCATGATTACAGTAGGAAGATTCCAAAAATTAGCAGCTATGGCAACAGGGTGATAAAGAATGTGGTGATTTGGTGTGCATGACACTGTGCTGACTGTGTAGTAAACTAGACAGCAATAATATATGGTGATGTGTTGTGCTACTGTGTCACCAATACGTTCAAGCTGCTAACCTTGAAAAAAAAAATTACCCCCCCCTTTCAAAATATAAAAATAAAATCTACCTCTTTACAAAAATGGATTAAAATTAACTAAATCATAAACCCAAAACACCAATCTAAAACAATACAATCCAAAACCCCGTTTTTTTTTTTTTTTTTTTTTTTTTAAATAGAATGAAAACAAAATGTGAAAAGGAAATGACAATAAAATAGCATCACAAAAAAAAAATTAGAAAGGAGGATCAGCAGCAAATAAATAGTAACAGAACACAGACAAAAATAAGGTTCCAAAAAAGGCATTTTGGATCTTTTTGCTAGGAATACAAAGACTGGGCTATGAATACAAAGATAGGTACACACCAAAAGCATTCACTGAACAGCACATTGCATATGGTGGGTGGGGGTACACTTCACTCTCTGTAGCCCACCACACTGCAATTCACAGTAATGGCATTATACTGCACTGTATATAGCACGGTGTAGTTTAGTAGGTAGTATATTAGCACTCTACAGTAGCACTAACACAACTATCTCTCCTTCAAATCAGTTAACCCTTACTACTACTCCTACTATTCAAACACACACTGACCAAAGGCTGATAAGAGCGCTGACATACATAGGCAGGC